AAAAAGTCCAAGGTGTAATGACTTATAATCTTACACTATTATTTGTACAATTGTACCTAAAATTTGTTTGCATACATTTTGTCTTAGAGTGTACACCAGATCAAATACGAGCAAAAGTGGAATTTTTAGAAAAAAATATTTTGTTACTTAAATGTGAATGCGAAGTAATGGAATTGAATTCGATAAAAGCACAACCCGAGCTTGCCGCTATAAGTAAAATACTAATATTATATTATGTATTATATTATACTAATATATTAATTTCACGCGGTCCAGAAATATTATATTTCAATTGATAGTTGATATTATTATGTTAATAATTATAGTAATAATAATATTATTAATATGTTCACACATAGATACAATTGACGTATCGTGGATGCCCTATGATACGAAAGCCGAAGAATATCGTTTATCTTTAGTCCCTCCTAAAGTTTCAAAATTATCGAGAGAAAAGCTTCGCCAGTCTGCTATTTTATCGAAATCGAATAAGTCTGTTCTTGGCAGTATATATAGTGTTGTTAATAATGCGATTAAAATGAATAAGTATGTTTAGTATAAGGTTTGAGCAATTTTTTTTGTGTTAAAAAATATTCTATTCACTTCATTTGGCTTACCTTGCAGTCACTATTTGAACACATAAATAACACATATTATATATTATATTCAGTGTTGAGTTCATATAGCAAAAATAACATCTAGAAAATTTTTAGATTACTAGCTAAATCAATATCTAGATTAATATGAAATAGAATATTCAATTTTTATAAGATAAATATGTAGATAAAATTTTTTCATCTAGATTTATATCTTACAACAGTTAATTTGTATTAATGCTTGCCATGTTATTAAATTCTTGGTTGAGTAATTGATTAAGGGAGGCAAACCAGGAAGGCAAACCAGGAAGGCTTGTTTCGTGTCAAAAATATATTACCTAATGAATAAATATACATATAAAATATTTAAATACGTATAACAAAATATCAAATAACCAAAATCATGGTTAATTACCAATTATTGTAAT